ATCACATTTGACACTAATCCTTCTAAATAAGGCAAAACATCTTTATAACTTTTAACACCATATAGAGCCCTATTAATCTAAAATAGAAAAATAAATTTTAAGCTTTAACTCATGAAACTGAGTAATTTGCTTATTAATGCCTGACATGGAACTTATTCTCACAACCCTGTTTTTCATTACTAGCATGACCACTGTTACCATACTCATCATCACCACAACAGACAAAACCTATTGAGAATTTATTGTGTGCCATGCATTGTGCTGTTTTATATGTATTAGTCTGTTCTCATAAAAACTCTACGAAGAGCACTCTATTATTAATCTGGATTTACAAAAGAGAAAACTGAAGCAGAGGTTATGATCATATAGCTAGTGAGTAACAGAACCAGGGCTCAAATATAAGCCATCTAACTTCAAAGCCCTAGAATTAAATAAATCTGCTGAAGTATAACATTGCTACTCATTTATGTCATTCACTGAATTACATGTGTGTACCTACTATAACTTAGCATCACACTAAGTCAGTGATCCTCAAATATTACTGTATAGAAAAATCACTTGAGCAGCTTGTTAACATGCAGTTTCATAGGAGCCACCAGATTCTGAATCTGTAAGTCTAGGCTGGGATTCAGGGATCTGCATTTTTTAACTATAATTTCAGTCAGTTATGAGTGGCATAGTGCCTAAGGCATGTGACTGCTAACCAGAAGGCTGGCAGTTCAAACTCACCAGCCACTCCTCAGAAGGAAGACTGGGCAACCTACTCCCATAGTGATACCGGCTCGGAAACCCAAGGAGGGGTTGCTGAGTCAGAACTGACTCAACGACAGTGAGTTTGGTTTTATTGATTTATTGATTTATTTAGGCCCATATACTCTGCTAAACCCTATGCTAGATGTACAAGAAATTCAATATTTGAGCCTTCTGCCCTCTAGGAATTTACAATCTAAAAGGAGTACAAATGAGGTACAAAAACTATACAAAGCAATAAAGAAAAAGTAGTACAGACAAAACAAGCAAAAACAGACTTCAAGGAAAAGAGGTCATTGGAAATTAAATGAGCATGTGTAAGATTTCATGAAGAAAGGAAACACATTCCATAGTGAGACTTGCAGAGATGCTATACACAAAGGGATATATGATGAGTGAAATGGAGGTTTTACACTTGGGAATGAAATAATGATGTCATTAAAAAAAAAAAAAAAAGTAGAGGAAGGCTACAGAAGGCCCTAAACGTCAAGCTAAACAGTATGGACTATATTTAGAGTTGGTACAGGAAAGCAGCTAATGGTTTTTGAGGAGGGAAACTAAATGCTAACAGCAATACTCGAAGAGTATTCTAACGAAGCTATGCAGGTCCAATAGAAATGGAATAACAGACAATAAGAATGGTTAAAACCAAACACCAAACTCAGTGCCATTGAGTTGATTCCGACTCATAGCGACCCCCTTTGGGTTTCCGAGGCAGTAAATCTTTACTGAAGACGATTGCCCAGTCTTCCTTCTGCAAAGTGGCTGGTGGGTTTGAACTGCCAGCCTTCTGGTTAGCAGTCAAATCCCTCAGGTGCTATGCCACCAGAGCTCTTTAGAAATGGTTAGGCTATTCCCATTCTAAGCCCAAGGAAATAAATGTCAGAACAGGCAAGTGGAAAAAATGAAAAAGGGAGGAGTGGGACTGGTATATCTTAACTTGAATATAGGGCAAAAGAAGCAATCACAGCCAAATAATTTCCCCACCCTTTAAGCCCAAATTTCTCACTATCCTTCCTAGGCCCAAAATATATAAAGAGCTCCCTATTTAAAACAAAGCTTAGGACTAAGAGGTCATATATAAGCAAAATACATGTCACACAATTCATATATTGAATAAATATATATTATATATACAACATACGTGTGTGTGTATATGAATGAAAGAACATTATTCACAGCTCTATAATCATATTTTACTCAAAATTCTAACAAATGGAAGTATCTGATTTTCAAACACAAGTATGAAAGCAAAGACTACAAAAGGAAAGAGCTTTCTATAGGTGGACATACTTAAGAAATGAAAAGTTAAAAAAAAAAAAAAGCATACACAATCACTCAGGGTAAATTCTGCACAACCGTTTATTGATAGGTACAAATTATTCGCAGAGAAATAAAATCAGTAAGAATCTTCCTTAATTTTCCAAACACCTACTACAAAATAAAACCTTTTTAAAGTTTAATACTAAATATTTGTTAAAAATAGTATTTACCTGATGAAATAATTTTTAATGGATGGCTGATAAATGCCAACATAACATTTGTCATCAGTAACCAAGACACTTCAACGGTCAAAGGCAAGAAAGATAAATTTTAAAACACATGAAGATTGAAGAAAGAATGATTTTATAAGGCATCTATCTATAATCAATTGTGTGGCTTCAGGGATTAAGTTGATTTGGGTATCTTTCTTGATGGTTGTGCCTTTGAATTCCATGTTCCAAATAATATGAACTCATCCCAACAAAGATCAACATTATTAAACTGGTCTTAAATACATACCCTATAAATATACCTATTAGTATTAAACAATATAACTTGACACTCAACTTCCTGTTGCAATAGGCTGTGTGACAACTTTTAAAAGAACTTTAAACACAGCAATACATGAAGCCCTCTCACTTTGCACAACTACATTCATTAACTTTTAACATAATACTTTTCGTCTAAAGACATCACCTATTTTATAAAACAGAAGCAAGCATCAGTTCCATGGGGTAAATTAAGATGTTAACTCACTCAAATTTATACTTAAGTTTTTAAGTAAGTATAAAATATATACGAAATCTCTAAATCTTATACCTTTGATCATGTAGCAAAAAATATACCATAAAACAGTACCGAAGTCAAAATAGTTTGGGTTTCAGCTTGAGATATTTTAAATAAAAAAAAGCCTGTAAGTGTATCTTTAAAACACTGAAACTTTAAAATAAAATTACCATGTAGTGATAAATCAAATACATGAAACCAGGCATCTCACAATTCTCAGACACCAAAAAGGCTTGAGGGTATTAAAACACACATTCAAAAATTTCATCCTTAATGCTGCATTAAGAGATCAAAAAATTAAGATTATGGAACTCTAGAAAACAAAAGTCAAATATGCTATATGATAGAAACATCTCAACAAATTAATCAGTCAATTGCACCTGGCTGTCCTACCCTTCTGGAGCTCCAGTGGTGTAGTGCCTAAGGCCTTTGACTGTTAACCAGAAGGCTAGCGGTTCAAACCCACTAGCCACTCCTCAGAAGAAAGACTGCACAATATACTTCTGTAGAGACACCACCTCAGAAATCCAAGGAGGAGTCGTTATGAGTCAGGACCAATTCCGTGGCTATAAGTTTGGTTTGTTTTTGGTCCTAGCCCTCTACAAAAAAAAAAAAAAAAAAACTACCTCCTTAGACTGCCCCTTGCACTCTAGAAACTGACAAGGGGACACTGATTGAAGTCCAACAAATAAGTTTAGGAGACAATGTTTTTCAAGCTGCAAACTGTAATCCAAAAATCAATTTAGTGGATTTCCGTTTTTTTTTTTAAAAAAAAAAAAGAAAGAAAGAGAATGCACTATAATAGAAGATATCAGAATGTATCACATTTAATAAGGGTATATATTGTTTTTTGAAACTTTGCAATCATGTGTAGGTATGTACTAGATCATGATGAAAAATGAACTTCTTTCTCTGTGGCATGATTGGAGGAAAAAAAAAAAGCTAGAAAGCTACTCCCCTAGAGATCTAGGTCTAAGACCTCAGGACACAAAAGTTAAACGTTTTCATTAGTCCTTAGCACCTACACCTTCTCTTAGCTCAAGATGGAGCCTTGGAAACCAATTTAAGAGCCCATGGCAGGATAGAGTACTGGAACTTGCCCTTGCTAAGTCTATATTTAGACCTGAAAGGATTGCTAGCTTCCCCAAGACAACTTTAGGTGGGTTGCTATAAACTCTGTAGCCTAGCAACCTTCAGAATAGACCTCCTTCCTTCTCCGTTGACTGGTAAACAGTTCAACTCTCCCAACAAACTCCTTAACTACAACTTCTAGCATCACTGTGTCTCAAGAGAAGACAGTATTAAGTCTTCCCTCTTCACCAATTCCCAGAATGTCTTCCTAGAGGGCTTAGACTGTATTCCTCAATCTCAACCAAGAAACTTCACACAGATCTTTATACTCCCCTCAAAAATCCCAGAACAGAGTACTCGCCTCCTCCTCCCAGCCCCCATCTTATTCTAACCCCTTCATTCTTAGCATCTCTCAACCTGGGTCAAATCTATTCTCCCTAAAGCCCTTACTTTATTACCGCATCTTTTTATTAACCCCTCAAAGAAACTGGCCTACTGTCTTAGAAGCTTGGGAAAGTTCCCCTCCCCTCCCCTCCCCTGCCCACCAAAACTCCCTGAAGTCACTTTCCCAGAGTTGACTCAGTGGTTCAGAGAGAAGTTTCCTAGTTCTCCAGCCGCCCATCTCAGTAAGGGAGCATCTTCCCATCCCCCACGCCTCTGGAGCACGGTGAGAAGCCTTGAACCTCCCAGGAATTCAGACAAGCTCCACACACCTCCTCCTCCAACCCAGGTACCAGCCTTCCTCACCCACCCCAGGGACCTCCTGTTCCGCCTCCGTCCCGGAACCAGGCCAGGCCCCATCCTCCCACAAGCCCCATGACAAGTTCCCCATCCCTCCCAGCTGAGCCAGGTAGGCACCCTCGCGCTCGGAGTTTTCCCCCAGGCTTCCTCACACTGAGCCCTAGCAGGAGCGGCCTTCTCCGCCTCAGCTCCGGAGGTGAGCGCCTCGGGCCTCGAGAACTCGGCAGAGCCGGCAGACCCGGGCTCCACTCACCCTCAGCCCGGGAGGCGGGGGAGCTGCTGCGGCGGCTCCTCCTGCTGCTCCTCTCCTCCCCCCTCCCGGCCGCCGCCGTCGCCGCCACTCAGCCTCCGGCCTGGTCCCGGCCGGCCCCGGACCGGCTTCGCTTCACCTCGTCCCCACCTCTGGCCGCTGGAGCCTAGTGTCCTGCATTGACCCGGAAGCAGCTTTCACGGCCCAACAACAACACGTGACCCTGCCGCACGTGTCACGTCGGCTGCGTGAATGGGCGGAGGTGGCGAAGGAGCAGATCCTCTCCTATCTAGCTGAGGTTCCCATGGCGACGGGGATGTCTGTATTGGGCTGATCTTCGCTAGAAACACACCTTGTCTCCTACTCTTCTCTGGTTCGTCATTTTGAAGTGACATCTCAGGTGCAAAGAAAGAGTACAAATTGGCACATCAGTGAAATAGGGGCATGTTAGAGCAGAGCCTTGGGCTTCTGAGAGGTTACTGCCTTGTAGAAAAAAGCAATGGGCTGAACCTCTCCAGACACACCTTGAATCTTGTCCTGGCTCTGTCATTAATTTGCTGTGTGACCCAGATCAGGTCACTTCCTGCCTCTGGCTTCAGTGTCCTCATCCATAAAATGAGGAAACTATGCGAGGTGAACTGTGGCTGTTATTTAATAAGATTCCATGGTGCTTTTGCCTCAGGATATAGTAATGCTCGGCCCTTATTGGAAAACTTTTGGCATCATGAGATTTCAGTACCCGAATATCAATGCAATAATTGTTGGTGTTAGTTGCTGTGGAGTTGACTTTGGCTCATGACGACCTTATTTATAACAGAACAAAATATTGCCTGGTGCAACATCTTTGATAGTTATATTTGAGCCCATTGTTATGGCTGTTATGTGGGTGCGTTCCAAATTAGGAGGAACTGGCAGTTCAAACCCACCAGCCAATTCCTCAGAAGGAAGGTTGGGCAATCTACTTCCGTAGTGATACTGCCTGGGAAACCCAAGGAGGGGTCGCTATGAGTCGGGTCCTACTCAACGGCACATAACAACAACAACTGGTGACATGTTGTTGTTGTTAGGTACCATTGAGTCAGCTCTGACTCATAGCGACCCAATGTACAACAGAACAGAACACTGTCCAGTCCTGCACCAGCCTCATAATCTTTGTTATACCAGAACCCATCATTGCAGCCAGCATGTCAATCCATCTCATTGAGGACCTTCCTCTTTTCCTCCGACCTTCCACTTCACCAAGCATGGTATCTTTCTCTAGGGAATGGTCCCTTCCAACAACAAAACCAAAGTAGGTGAGGTGAAGTCTGGCCATTCTCGCTTCCACGGAGCATTGTGGTTGCACTTCTTCCAGGACAGATCTGTTAGTTCTTCTGGCAGTTCATGGTACTTTCAGTATTCTTCACCAACACGACAATCCAAAGTGGGTAAAAAATTCAGCTGCTAACCAAAAGGTCAGCAGTTTGAATCCACCAGCTGCTGTGTGGGAGAAAGTTGAGGCAGTCTGCTTTTGTAAAGATTTACAGCCTTGGAAACCCTATGGGGCAGTTAGTCTTCCCTAAAAGGGTCATTATGAGTTAGAATAGATTTGATGGCAGTGAGTTTTGTTTGGTTCAAATTAGGAGCTCATCTTCCAGCACTATAGAGGATATATACTCTGTTATTGCTGTCCCTCTGCCATTGCTCCTGCTGTTCCAGCTCCCTCTCTCTCTCTCTCTCTCTCTCTCTCTCTCTCTCTCTGTCTCCTGGGTCTAAGAGGCTCACGGTGCAGGGACCCCAGGCCCACTGAATGTGCTGCACTCATGTTTTTTTCTTTGTTAGTGGTCATGAAGTCCAATCTCTGCTTTAAAATTGGCTCTCTTTTAAGCCTAGAGGGTTGGTAAAACTGACAAATCCCCTTATTAAGGTTCTATACATCTTATTTGCATGGTCCTATTTGAGAGCTCTGGTAGCGTAGTGCCTAAGGCACTTGACTGCTAACCAGAAGGCTGGCGGTTCAAACCCACCAGCCACTCCTCGGAAGGAAGAGGGGGAAATCTACTTCTGTAGTGCTACTGCCTCGGAAACCCAACTAGGGGTCGCTCGGCAGCACATAAAAACAGCAACAACAACATCCACGCAAGAGTGTCATACACTTTATTTGTATTGTTAGCAAGCTATCAAATCCCCTTTGTGAGCCACAAGCACCTTACATAGTGCATAGTCCCACCCAACCTTTTGGTGGGAGTACTATAAGACTGTGGCTAGAAGGTCCATATTAAGTAATTCTGTACACCGCGTATGACAAAGGTAGAGCTGAGGGAAATATGCACAGAGGAGGAAGAATGAAGTTGATGCTGCACAAATACTTTGTTGACTGACTAACGTGGTGAGCTGAGGTGACCCTGGGAGGCCAAAAGAGGCTGGATACCCTTTGAGCAACTGGCAAAAAAAAAAAAAAGAAAGAAAGAAATGTGGGTCATTACTGTTAACAAATAGTATTACAATGTATATAAATACATATACCAGTACTGTATGTGGGAGTGATTGATTATATACCTCTTTGTTTCTTTGAGATATCCTAGACACACATATCTATCTCTTTTTCTCATCTCTTCTCTTATAGAGAAAACTCCTAAAGGCAAGATCAAAGTCTCCACCCATCTCCCATTTCCATAAAACAGCTAGAATTATATTTCTAAAATTCATGTCTGATTGTATCACTTCCCAGACCTTAAACCCTTCCAAGATATCCCACTGCTCTCAAGAAAAAGTCCACAATTAATTAACATGCTTTACTAGATTCCATTACCTGAGCCCTGCTAGTTTCTCCAGGCTTATCTCTTGGCATTTTCTCCCCTTACTACTACTCTGTACAATATGGTTGTTGTTGTTGTTGTGTGCTGTCAAGTCGGACCCGACTCATAGCAACCGCTCCTTGGGTTTCTGAGGCAGTATCACTACAGAAGTAGATTGCCCAACCTTCCTTCTGAGGAATGGCTGGTGGGTTTAAACCTCCAGCCTTCTGATTAGCAATCAAATGCCTTAAGACACTATGCTACCAGAGCTTTGTACAATATGATAGTCACTAGCTAATTAAAGGGAGCTCTGGTAGCATAGTGGCTAAGGCACTTGACTGCTAACCAGAAGGCTGGTGGTTCAAATTC